GTAAGTGCGAATGTGAAATACAATTCGCTATATAAAATACGGCGTGAAGTTATTTGTCGCGATATACACCCAAACACGCGACAATAAATATTTCACTACTCTAAGCATGCATATTTATTCTGTGACAATTTATATAAAAGAAGTGCTAATTATTGACAGCTGTGAAGTCTGACAAACTCTGAAATTATAACTTGTTACATCTGTAATATGCAGGTTAAAGAATGTTATATTCAAACTGAGAGAGAGAGAGAGAGACTCGTCTACAAAAACGACCAACCACATGACATGGTTCATATGCTTCCTCCATTGCAGAGAAAAATAGGGAAGAAAAGAATGACAATTCCATTCCATGGCATTTTTTCAAAGTTCTGTCCACTGAACACCACAAAACTGCATCAATCTTACACTGTCTCCTTAAAAGTTAATAATCAAGACATCCCTAGAAGAACGAAGTATCTGACCAAGTGTGAAGAGATCAATATTGTACCAAACACAAGCTCTCTGAGTGTTTTTGAAAACTGTCTATAATACAACCAAATTAGTGCAGTTCAAAAGCTATGAACCTTGTATTTAAACCTCACTGTTAAGAGAACAGACCACAGCTGTCTTTACCTGAACCAAAATGTATCATTTTAACATAATTTCACCAAAAGTTTAACTTAAAAGCAACCCCATATAGTACAGAGTCTTCAGTGAGCAGTTCATAATTACTCAGCAGACCAAGGAGTAAGAAAAAAAATCCTCTTTTCGTACAGAACTTTAAGGTCCAGCACTGTCATCACAGAGGCATGTCACGGAATCCTACCCTGAACAAGTACAATTCCGTTCACATCTCTCTAAAATCCATTTTAATATTTCCCTCTCTTCTATACCTCAGTCTCAATCCTTAGAACCAAAATTCTGCATACTTCCCCTATTTCCCCCATGCATTACTGCATGTCCTGTTCACATCATCTGTAACTTAATCAGTAACAATATTAGCTAAACTATATACATTAAGAAATTCTTAATTATGTAATTCTCCAGTTCATTTTACATTCATGATGTTCAATTTACTACATAGGTTTAAAAATAATCAAACACTGAAAAGTTCACTGAATTTCTTCAACGAATATTATGAAATGATTACTACAATTTCATGGATTTTGAGAAATCACAATTATGGAATGATTACTACTAGCAGTATGAAGTGAATTTGGGGAACCCATTTAGTATATCAGAATGTTCTTTTATGCATTGCTTAACATTTCACAGTAATTAATGGAGTTAGATTTGAATGCAACCTAATATGAAATCATTAAATGATATAATGATACAAATTCCATCCCAAGTGCAAACAATGTATTATGTGTCCTTGATCTTGCTCCTCTACACTACATGTTTCGGCCTCAGACGGCCATCATCAGGTGTATAACACTCACGTTGCTGTCACACTGCACCCAGCCCAAAATTTAACATTTAAAACACTTTCCTTGTTATTATCAACATCTACTTCATTGATAATAACAAGGAAACTGTTTTAAATGTTAAATTTTGGGCTGGGTGCTGTGTGACAGTAACGTGAGTGTTATACACCTGATGATGGCCGTCTGAGGCCGAAACATGTAGTGTAGAGGAGCAAGATCAAGGACATATAATATACTGTTTGCATTTGGGATGGAATTTGTATCATTATATCATTTATCATAGGGAGTGCAACAGGATGCTTAAATATAATAATGAAATCATTATTAAAAGTCTGTATGAAATTTTAGGTGTATTAAAATAATATGGTGTAATACCTCAACATGGCATGTTTGTTGTTCTACACAGATGTAAATGGATCTCACAGTTAGTTTTCGACATTGATGTATGAGAAATACACTAAAACTGTCACAAAAATATGATTCTGAAGCACATCAGTGCAGTCTACAAATAAAGAGAAACAATTTGCTACTGCTGCCTGTGACTCTTGAGTCATTTATGTCTGCTCTTAAACCCACATCTTATCACACTCTACACCCCTTTCCCTAACCAACCTATGTACATGTTAAAAGATGATACAACTATGCAAAACATTTGAGTTCAACACACAGAAACAAAGACTTTTCCTCTATATGTTATTCAATTCTTACAAAGCAGCTTTGCAATTCTTGCATAGCCTGCTAACATTAGGCTTGACAATGTGAAAGTCAGTCACATACAATAAAATCCAAATGACTGTTTCTTCTGTGAAAACAATAGGACCTCTTCACTCACATATACACATGCACACTACCATAAAGCAGAGATACCCAATAAGTTAAAACAGAAATTTACCAGAGCAACTGTTAATAGAAAAACAGAAGAGAGGTACTACATGTCTTCTAAAATTCCTTCTCCACTTCCTCCAATACCTTCAAACATTAGTCAGTATTCACAAATTCAACTAACTTGGGAAGATGTGTTGCTATTGTTTCTATTACAAATATTAGCACTGAACATGCAAACTTCAGGCTTGCACTGGTTCTGATTTCCATCATCTGTGATCATATAAATTTTACAACATACACTGCCCTGATTTTGCCAACCAACTGTCAAGAACCTGATGTTTAATGCCAGTGTGGGCCCTTTCAGGTGTCATTTTTCTTACATGCTATCCAGCTTTGAAAACACAGAAGGTGAGTCTTAAATACAGAGATAAGCCCCAAGAACACACAACAATTTATGGTCACAGTGGATTCCTGTTACATTACCACTATGATTTCTAGTGTCAGTGAGCAGAAGTATTAATAACAGGTACAGAATAATTTCAAAGTTGGAAGATTCCTTAACCATCTCTGAATAGTGGTTTCAAGGTTGCAAACTTTAATAAATGCAACTTTAACTGCACTAATACATGAGACAAACTCTGTCTTAAGTGCAACAATTTAATTGTAGTTCTTTCTTCTTTCCTTCCTCTACACTACATGTTTCGGCCCTAAATGGCCATCATCAGGTGTATATTCTTACGTAGCTGCTACACTGCCCGTAGTTTAAAATTTAAAAATACCAGTCTTTCCAATTGTATGTATGTATAAAATCTTTGTTAACCTACACACGTCAATTTGATTTCCAAAATTGGCACTTTTTAAAACTTCAATTCAAATTAAAATGTCTTTAAATTTTCCATTCTTTTTCTTTTTCCAAATTTTAAAAATTAAAATTCCTCGGGGTACTCGCCCTATGTCTATAGTGCTGCAGTGGCCACTTCTTGTTTTATCGCTGTTCAGGTATTGTTCTGTGTAGGCTCTCTGTGTGTGTGCCGCTGCCTAACTTTAATACGTATTAAAGATTCAAACATCAAAGATTAAACATTCAACAAATGCACTTCAAACTTCGACACCTGTTATATAATAAATTGTAGGTTATGTTTACTTCTGCTTAATTTATTTGTATGAATTAATCTGAATGGAAAAGATAAGTCAGAAGGAAAATATATTAGCTAAAATTTAATACATGCAGTCAGTGACAAAGTGAAACACTTTATATATTAACTGCATCAAATGCTGTAAAAACTGGGCATCCCTGCTTTACAGTATGAGGTCTCTTCTCAAAATGAGTGTTAGACAAATTCAGATGCAGGTCACAAATTTTGAGAGCAAATTTAACTTCCATCCACTCAGCTCATCAAACACTACACTGTAGTAATCAGCACTCCCACTTTATATCTGGGAAGATTCAGGTTTGATCCTTGGCCTGGACAAAGTAGCCATTACGACCAGTTTTTATGATTCCTTTTGGGCGAAAACCTTAAGAAAGGGCTTGTCTGCTTTCTTCCATGCCTCTCCTGATCCATAAAAGTCCTCCCATTTCATGCTCTATATCCTATGAGGTTGCTTAACCATCGCCAAATACAATACACATCTTTCATATTATATTCATTTTATACCAGTCATAAACACAAAAATGCAATCAGTGATCTGTAACAGATGAGTGGCAAGAAAGCCCTATTAATTTTTAGTTTTCCTTGTATTTAATACAATTATTACATGTGCTTATATGCAACTGGGAATTCTTCATTGTAGGATTTGGGAGAGTAAACAATAATGTTTGGACTTCTAAGACAACTATGGAAAGGGTTATGTCAAGAGATTAAGATGGCATACAATAATAATAATACACTATCAAGTCAAGAATAACAAACAGAAAATGATGGTCACATGAGGTAAATAAATTTATATGGTGTGAAAATAACAATGTAAAGAACTGTTCTTAACCTACATAGTTTAATGCATAAACTGAACATGACGACATTCCAACCAGGTATGCTTATGTGAATGTGATTAATCTGAATGCAGCACCTGTGACATTCTTAACTATAACTGAGAAAGAGTCTGGCAAAAATCAAGGTGTCCAATATGTTCTATTGATAACACCTGACAACACACAGTTAACTGGAAAAGAAAAACTGTACAGTAATTACTGACTTCTGACTTCAGTGGTTGTTCCTGCTGATACCGAGTTTTCTCCTGAGTATTTGCACTGTGTGGAAGTGGGCAGTGTTGCTGAAATTTCAGATACATGAGGGATCCACCTTTAGGGTAATAATGTATATGGTGGGTGTGTCCACATCATACAGTTTGGTGGTCCAACAGAACCGTCATGGAAGGGTTCTGTTCAACCAACAACCTATACAACAGAACCTTCCCCCCCTGGTTCTGTCAGACCAAGAACCTGTATAACATGGACACTCTCTCACAACACTCATTTCAATCCTGAAGATGGAGGCAGCATGTACCTCTAAAATGCTGGCAACACTGCCCACTTCCATAGTGCAAATACCCAAGAGCATACTCAACATCACTTCTACAATAGATGAACACTTGTCAGATGACCAAAACAAATATAGGTCAGAACATAAGACACTTCAAGGGACCTGACTCCCAAAACTTGTGACCTGTACCATTACGTTACATATAACAAACTGCAACTACAAGTAACAAAAGTGAATCTGTCCCTTACTACACCCACCACCATGCATACAGAAAGTGGAGTCTTACCACCCTCATCCTCCGAGTCAGACATAAACGTCTCTTGCATGGATTCTGGTGCTACCACTCTGTACTTTTCCTCGATTGTAGTTGTTGTTGTAGTTGTGATGGTTGTCTCAGTTACCACTTTAAGAGTCTCCACCACACTGATATAGCCAAGCTTCTGGGCGATTGACAGTGCAGTTTGTCCTTGCTGTAACAGTATCATAGGCAATTAGTGGAATCTTTGGTATAATCATGTAACAATCTACACTACTGCATACTCCATTTTTATTGCATAGCATTATTTCACACAGTAAATGGTGGAGTGTCAGCCTGAAAAATATTCTTTCCAGAGAATTATTTTTGGGCATTTCTGCTGTTAGATTACTATGTATGCTTTCAACAACAACACAGCAGATATTGTTCTACAACATGTGAAAACAACTACTGTAAAACTTCAATTTCAAATTTCTTTGGGGAGCAGTAGATGTGAATACTAAACTAAGGTAAATATTAAATGCAGAAAATTCAACACAGAGCCTGGTGACTTAGGATCACAGAAACTAAACATTCGATGAGGAAATGGCTTTAAATAGAGTGCATTAAAGGGGACTTTCACTGCATGAAAAACTGGAGAAAGGGCAGGTGTCTCCATGGCTGTTTCTCATCCAACACAACTGCTCCCTAAAGTCAAGTTTGGTGTGGTTGGCATGCATGAAAGATATGGGAATTCATACAGGATTTTAGTTGGAAATAAACCATTTGACAGGCCATGCATGCTTTATTTTTGTGTATTCTTTAATGATGCTTTCAATACTGAAACTACAGTGTTGGACGGTAATATGATAGATGTACGATAAACTGGAAAGGATGGCCACACCATAGCTCAAGCAGTTAGTTGCTGCCTTCCCACCGCGGCAGCCCGTCAACTGGGACTTGTGGTGAACAAAGTGGTGCTGGGGCAGGTTTTCTCCAAGTACTTCGGTTTCCCTTACCAATCTTCATTCCACCAAATTCTCCATCATCATAATCACCCGGGGCAGGCTACAATAGGCCAACCAGTGGCCGCCATGCCAAGTGGACCCAGTTGGACTCCACCCCCCACTAAGCAAAACTGGAAAGGATTTGGAAGAAAGTAATCACGGTCTGACTGACATATTATCTTTCCATTGGTCTTGAGGGACTGGGAAGAGCCACAAGAAGGCCTCACATCAGGTCCCAACAAGATTCAAACCTTCACAATATACGTCTACAGCATCAACTCAACCTGCTTGGTACATACAGGGGCTGGACAAAATTATGGAAACACCACAGATACTGTACACATTTTTTATTAATATGGTTTTGGACCACCTTTTGCATTCAATACAGCCACAATCCTTCTTGGAACAGACTCGTACAAGTCTTGAACAGTCTCTAGTGAAATTTTATATCATTCTTCTTCTTGAGCATCTTCAAGATGCTTTAGAGATATTGGTGGGAACTGGTTCCTCCACAACTGACCGCGGTGATTTAACAATGTTCAAATCTGGTGATTGTGCTGGCCAGGGAAGATATTGAAATTCGCCATCATGCTCTTCAAACCACGACTGAATGGTTCCAGCTGTGTACATGGGGGCACTGTCATCTTGGAAAACTGCATTATTGTTCAGAAATAAAATCTGGATCACAGACTGCACATGACTACCCAACCTGTCCACATACTCCCTTGTAGTAATTCAGCCATGATGGGTAATAATGGGACCAACAGAATACTGTATGACAATACTGCTTTCCAAACTTTTTTGGAAGAGTCAAACTGCACTAGATCGTAAGCCAATATATTTTCATGTTGTTGCATATCGCTGTTCACACTAAATTATGTTTGTCTGAGAATAAAAATCTCTCTCCATTCTGTGTTATTTTCCTTCTGCGATGTCCATGTTTGTACCCCATTTGTATGCATGTTCTCACTAGTTGGGCAAACATGTTAGAAGTCAAAATTCACACTGCCAATGTACTGAAAGTTTCAACCCTGAGGCTAAATCAGGCCATAACAACACTACAGAACAAGATTTTAGAGGAAAATAAACAGGACTGCTTATAATACAAAACTAGGCTCTAAGCACAAACCACATCAAGCCTTAGCAGACTGACTTAGTCAGTTCACTGGAAGACCTGTGACAAACCAGACTCACATTGGTAAGAGCATTCGGCTTCGCCTTGTGTTCAAGCAACAGGCTAATGATAAGTGTGTGTCCCTGCTGGGCTGCCTGGTGGAGTGGTGTATAGCCAACTGATGTGCTGTTGTCCACACTAGCACCATGTTGCAACAGGAACCTCACCATGTTCAGCTGCCCGAAGTGACATGCGACATGCAGAGGTGTGTACCCAGCCTGTTATCAACATAAATCATACATGAGGACATGACATGGATTAAGAGTTCTGTCTGGGGCTGTGCCATGGCTCAAGCGGTTAGCTGCTGGCTTCCCGCCGAGGTGGCCCGGGTTCGATCCTGGGTCTGGTCAAGTGGCACTGGGGCAGGTTTTCTCTGAATACTTCAGTTTCCCCTGCAAATCTTCATTCCACCAATTGCTCCACAATCACCCTCACCTATCATCTGGGGCTGGTACAATAGACCAGAAGTGGCCACAGTACAAGGGACTTAGTCCCACCCCAGTAGCATTAAAAGAAAAAGAAAAGAGTTCTGTATTCTGAGATATAATGCAGAGTGGTCTGGTGAAAGTCCACTGGTATTTCAGAGGAACATATTAATCCATTTTCCTCTGCTTGATTCCAGCTTCATGTTGATTTCTTGCTTCATTTATTCTCAGACCCTGGATGATGGAGGTGACATGTTCCACCACATCATCCATGGACTTTCAGTGGACTATACATTGTTATATCCCAGAAGATTGAATTCTTCATAGTCACTGACTCAAGAATCTAAAATCTAACATGTTAAGAACTACTGTTAAAGCTAAACAAAACTGCATAATAAGAAGCTTCATAAATTGTACTTTTCACAAAATATGATTACAATAATCAAAGTAAAGGAGAATGACGTGGGCAGAGCATGTATGTAGGTAAGTCAATAAGTAAGTTACAAATGGATATAGAACTTAAACAAATAAGAGTACTGATTTGAAAAATGCTTTTATTTCTCAACATAATCTCCCTGTACATTGAGACTGATGAAAACCATAAAGAATTTCAGTCCTGACAGCCAGTGTCCCAGCCAGTATTTAAAATGAGCATTTCATATATGAGCCTAGAGCATTACTGTCATCCTCCACTTGGCCTCCCCCTTTGTTTCTCAATAACTTCACATCAGAAATTATGGTCTTGTTTGATGATTTGTACTCTGCAGCATCAACTTAAACATTAGGTTTCATGATGTTACAATACTGTGGCATACTTGCCCAAAGCAAGAATTGTGGAGTCACAAAAGCTGGCCATTACTAAGCAACATCCCACAAATAACAGAGGAATGGTATTTTCTGAACAGTCCTTGCCAATGGCTGCACACACAATAACAGAGTACATCATACCATCACTAAGAAACAACTGCACTGCAACAGAGGAACAGTATTTCTATGCAGTTATGCTAAGTTATAAGCAGGACAAGTCAGCAGCAGTCAGGTAACTGCTGCAGTTCAGTCCTTGTGAGCTGCTGCTGTGAGAAGCTGGTAGCTAAGGCCAGGGACAGTTCAGGAACCAAGAGGAAGGGGAATGTCTACCAGTGGAAGTCACTACCAAGCAATGGCTAGTGAAGACTGTAACAGACTGAGAAGAACTAGTGTATCCTACAGTGACTTGTGATGGGTATAGAACTTACTTGTAGTTATGAGTTGCAAGAATGCTATGAATCTGACTACTAAGTTTCCTAATGTGGTAAGGTGCCTGTTAACCTTAATTGTCAAAACAGGGGATTTCACATCTTCCAGTACTACAAGGCTGGTAGCCAGACTTTACACTGGCTTCTGTTAAGTACAAATTATAACTGATTAATAACTGATCATTTCTCTTTAATTATAAAAACATTGTTTCTCACTCAAAGACATGTGGAATTCAGAAAACCATGGTATGCTACCTGGAAGTGAAAAGCTTAAGCCTCTTAGCATCAGACTTATGCTACAGGCTACACAAGAATTGGCTTGAAAAGATTCTGACGATGGTGTATGTTGTACAGAACTACTAGGCTTATTTTGGACTCTATCCATCGTCTGGTATATATAAGACAAAAAACCACGTTTCAGAGACTGGATCTGTCTCCATCCTCAGATGGATGGGGCAGGATAGACCTACTCAGTTGGGCCCGTTAGAAAGAGCTGGACCAGTGATTGAGACTAACTCTTTCTAACGGGCCCAACTGAGTAGGTATATCCTTCCCCATCCACCTGAGGATGGAGACAGATCCAGTCTCTGAAACACTGTGGTTTTTTGTCTTATATATACCAGACGATGGATATAGCCCAAAACAAGCCTAACAGCTCTGTACACAAGAATTCTCAGGCTGTTTCACAACAGATAAATAAAAGTGACAAGTCTGTATCCAAGATAAGAGGTAGTGTTTCTTGAAAATCAAACATAATTTCCATGGCTGTGCCCCAAGAACACAAATTATGTAATAGACACACAGCCTGTAAACAATGGCCAGATCACAGTCTGGCAGGCCTACCAGTGCCTGCCTCACTGGCAAGGAAAAAGAGTTAAGAAAGAATTATCATGTATCATTCAGCTTGCACAGAAGAAAGGTGTGGGTGGTACCTTTGTGGTGGAATCCACTTCAGCTCCGTTCTTGACTAGTATTGCTGCAACGTTTACTTTGTCTTCCTGTGCACACAAATGCAGTGGAGTGAGGCCATTCTGTAAACAAAATATTTGCAGCATTATATAATGGAACTTCCACTGATATTTGCATTTTGGCATCATCAAGCTAATCAGTTTACTTTGCACTGAAATGCTACCTAGAGACTAGGTCGACACTCTACTGGAAGAATCACTTAACTCAAAGTCAGTGTTGTGGATGTTTGTAATCAGAATGGTACTGCTGGAAGCAAAAAGGGGGCCACAGGAAATGTATATAAATAAGATCAATTTCTGTAGTTGTTGAAATAACTAAAAGCAATATCATTAATATTCATAAACTTCATACTGGCAAGTTAGAAACATGTGCATTATTCTGATTGATCAATATAAATTATTTTAGGCTAACATCTGAAAGGAAATAGTCTCAGACAATTATGTATACATCTGATGTGCCTGGTAACTTTTCAAACATCTGCCTGATTTGCATAAAACTTGGAAGGCCATGCATTTACAGACCAACATAATGCCACACTTTGAATCTCTAAAAGGAAGTTAATAAACTCTTTCATGGCAAATTTCACATGTTCAGTTACACTTTGCAGTAGTGTTGACTGTCTAATGAATACTAATGCAGAACTAAAGAGTTCATGGGGCATATTATATTTCACTGTCTCCATGAAGGAGTGTAACAAAAATTAGCAACTGTCATGAAACAAAACTCATATTGTGGAGTCCTGAATCAAAGGTGGATCAGTGGGATGGGTTTCACTTTTTAACAGCAATACAAAGATGGAACAATAAGATACAAGGAAAAGATAAATTCTATACCATATGGAAACAATCGTATTTTGATTTATTTAACAGCACTTTTATAAAAGTACATATGTTGTACAGCACTGTATGACTGAATGATTAAAAATGTAAACTGGGAAGAAGACAGAAACAACTGTGACCTATTTTAAGCAATTATCTTTAAGGACTGAACAATCACAAGAAAAAACTCAGACCAGATAAAGATAAAGATTCAAAACTAGCATCTCCTAAACATGAAGCAGCAGTGCCAGCCAATACAATGTGATGTTCAGTAACAAGCAAGTTAAAGCAGAGGCTCTCTGACAAACTACCAAATTTCCCTAGGAAACTTAAAAACACTCTATCCTGCTAATGAAATTTTAGTGCGAAAAAATGTTCAGTTCCATCTATTTCCATGTGCCCCACCTTTGCCTTGTGGTTGGAGTCTGCCTTGTGCTCGATGAGAAGTGAGGCCATGTCTGTGTGTCCCTCCTGAGAGCATAAATGCAGGGGAGTGAATCCAGCTTTTGATTCTGCATCTGCCTTAGCACCATACTCGAGCAATGTTGTAGCAATGTCCATCTGCAACCAAAGTTCCTCTTCACAATGCATTCATCCCTCCTTCAATACAAGTTACTAAAGAGAACACTGATGTCACACAATATACCAAGTATCAGTCACTGCTATGGTTCTAGATGGTTAGTCTGCAGTTTCTCAACACAGAGGCTTGGGTTCAGTCAAAGGTCACACTTTCCTCTAAGTCCTCTGATTCTACTGTCAACCATCATTTGGGCAATGTTCCTTAATCATATATCACTGCTCTGAGATGTGTGACACATCTGAGCAGCTATCCTCAGGGCACCTGGAACTTTACTGGACTCAAAGAGCAACTAGTTTTTACTATATTTCATTTGCAATTCTTTTTTTTACAATTCAGTTAACAGCTTAGTACTCATCATCCAAATTCTTTCAATTCTGAATTCAGTTAACAGGTACAATGATAGAGGCATCTGTCTTAACACACACGCCTACTTAAAAAACTTTATTCTATTCATGAAATTGTTATCCAAGGCCTCTTATACACTCAGTCTGATAACCAAGAAATCATGTTCCAGTCCTGTCAGGCTGAATTCAAACAAAAGAAATTATATAAAGAGGTGGTTTTCTTCTAACACCAACCCAGTATTATAAAGATCACATTGCAGGTGAATGTAAGATGTCAGTTTTAACACTCAAACAAAATAAATTAAGCTCTGTGGTATGTTATATACCAAATAGCACCATCTTTTTTTTTTTAATTTCAGCGAGTTTAACAATTCCTCGCCAAACAAGAGGATTACAAAACACTGCAGATGGCAAGATCAAGGCTTCAGCTGCCCCTTTTACATGCTTACACATAAACACCTGAACACACTCTTCTGTTAACTTAATTAATTAATGGCTAGCTCAGTGTTATCCAGCACAGATCATAACAGATGGGACTTGTTTGAGAGTTGCCTGTAATTGTGCAATAGTCATGAGTAATAAACAAAAATGAAATGGTGCTAAATCATTTTAAACAGTTTCCATATAAACAATGATGATGAAGTTTTTGGCCACACAGTTCACCTGACTAAAATGAATATGTTAAAATCACACAATAAAATAATACTTACACATGTTCACAGTCCATATAAGTAGTTAGAAGTTCTTGTTAAAGGTAAGATTGATATTCCATTACTTGAAGAATGATCAAATTATTTAAATTTCGAAGAACTGGATTTCTAATATGACAAATATATATTTGTGAGTCACATTAATTCTAAAGATGACTGAGTATTCTTGAGTCAAGATGGTTAAAATAAATTTCCAGAATGTATTTCTAAGTGTCACAGAGGAGCTTTAGACATCTTCATGATGCAACTTCCAAATGTTCAAAGCAAAGAACAATAAATATTCAATCCGAAGGTCAAAACACAGACATCTCATCATGAGAATTTGGCTCTTGGTTTCAGCAGAAAAATTCTGTAATCTCAATATAATTTGTAAGCTAGACAATCTCAGGAACTTTTACAAAACTGTAGCTAAACTTACGCTTTAAAGCTATAATCTAATTTAAGTTGAAGAATTAGCAAAGCAACATACACTAACTAAATTGGGAAGAACCACATACACTTCCTAAAATTTACTGTCACATGGAGCTATGAAGAGGCTTGTACAAAGTTTCAGCCAAAGGAACATCTCCAGCACCAACTACTTGTCACATGGGAATAAGGTTTTTTCAAAGATGAGTCATTAATGTTTCATGTTCCTTCCTAAAGCCAAAAATTTTCCAGGTCTCTGATTCCATCACTCTAACTTCATAATAAAAAGTTAATGAAGCTTCTGATGGTACAAGCTGGCATTTTGGTTGGGTTATAATTTCTGGTATCAAATTTTCAGAGAATAATAGTTATAAGGTGTTATGGGAAATCAGAAATAACCTTTTTACACAGTGGCTGTTTTCAAACTTAAGAATCATATTAAAATTGGTGTTTACAGTTTTAATTATCTGAGATGTGAATAATAATAATAATAAAAAAAAATAGTGAACCAAAAATGTGCACTTCTGCAAAATACGAAGACCCTGTACTTTTATTATACTCTTAATAATGCATCTAACACAGATATATTGTGGCAGAATGAGTACCTGATTCTTTTTGGCTGCTATGTGGAGTGGTGTGTGGCCATTTTTAGCAGTTGCATGTGGGGATGCACCCTTATCCAGCAGCAGCAGTGCAACATTCTGGTGATCATAGTGACTTGCAACATGCAGGGGTGTCACTCCATTCTGAAAAACAGAGTAAAGTTAGCAATGTGTGCAAGAGGAAATGTTTCAAGCCAAAATTAATCTCCTTAAACTTTGTGATAGGAACAACATGCAAATTCTAAACAAAGAACAAAAATTATTTAAAAATTAACCCTTTCCAGTCATCTGTCAATATACAACTGACATGGTGGCAGTGCTTCCAGGGACGAATGTCAATATATGATTGACAAAGTTTCTTCCCTATTTCTCAAGTCATATGTCAATTATGTCACTACCGGCCACTGTATTCTACGCCAAAGCATTCACGAATGTTTTGTCTGCCTTCTTCTGCCATCTAGGAGTCATTATTTGAACTTCTTGAGGAATGCCATTTATATATTATGGCATGTCATTTGTTAGCAGCATACTTTTATGTTTGGCCAAACCTCGGCCCTCTGGATTGAAGAAACTGAGATATAATCCCTTGTGTGATGCAGATGCAGAATCTATAGTGATGTATTAAATGAAGAACTCAATATTGACTCTGAAGATGAGATTAATTTTGGAAGTGAAGGAGAAACTGCGAATGAAGAATTGAGCAACGAAATGTCAGACAGTGAGAGTGAGAGTAAAACAAGTGTTCATGCATGTTGATGAGTGGGAAAACTAGACAATGGGTGATAAGAAACCCAAGGTATACACATTTACTAAAAATGTAGGGCCACAATTTAACTTTCTGCCAGATGCAGAGCCCAAGGATTATTTTATTTTTCAATGATGAGCAGCTGTTCAATAACACTGTTATAGAGCCAAACAGGTACGCAGAACAAAAAATTGCCAAACTTCAGCTAAGCCCATGGTTCATTTGGAGTAGGTGGTCTGATGGATCTGTTAAGGGGAGTGAAGTCGTTTTTAGTCTTAGGTATAAATATTGGCCTAATCCCATTACCTGACATAAAATTCCTAAAAATGCTCACTGTAATAGTTACACACAATATCCAAATACAGTCGACACACACACAATTACAGATAAATTGCATAGCTTCCAATTACATACAATACAATGTGGCACTAAGGTTTAATTAATATTAGAGATGCAGCAATATTTCTTCTTTTTCTTTTAAGTGATTATTACAGGATATAAAAGCAATGAAGAATAATTCAGCACTCTCATCATTATTAGCACCATCTGAAATAAAGAGTTAAATATTTTCTTAAACTTATATAACCTCATCTACTCACAACTGACTACCAAGAGCTGTACCTTACGAACTGAACTCCAGTCCACCATTTCAGTAAGTCTGCAACCACAGGTCACTCATATTCTGTTCATAACTCCCATCCACATTAGGTTACACAGGCATACATGTGAGGAAAACATACTGACTTTTATCAGACTTTAGTAACAGACATAACACATTAAGTAGTTTAAATAGGCAGATACTTACTTACATACACTACGTTATTGGCTATTCTAAATATGACCAAAACTGATATAAAATATTCTGATGTTGCATACATAAGTAACTGCTGATCAACCACTATACTTAACTGTAAAATAAATGTTACAGTGGTGGCACTAAGTTGAACACTAATCCATAGTTGTTTGTCTAACAAATTACATATTTACACTACCACACACACAATGAAAATTGGCCTCTTTATAAGATAACTCAATAACATTAACATCATCTGTAGTTCCTGTGCTAATCACATTCACTAGCAGCATATCTCACTTAATTAGCTTCATCACACAGTCATAAACTTCATATTCAAAACACACTTCACCAATATTTATTCATGACTGAAACAAACAATGTTAGTTCACTTAGGTTAAGTACACAACATATTTTCTCCTGTCTTCAATATCACGAACAATGTCGGAGAAGTTAACCCACACTGGCTTCCTATTACACTTTTCGCTGAGCTACTGATTTCACACAAATGTATTACTTCAAGTTTCTTATTCAGGGCTATCTAGCTTTGAGATCATTTTTTCAAAATTTTGCAGTCAGTGCCAACCAAAATACAGCAGATTCTTTATGCAACAAAACCATGAACATGTACCTATGTAGCTGTGTTCTGTGACACCCTTGTCCAACAACCTAGGTCAGTGAAGAAGAGAAAGACACAAAGACATTCCCCTGTGCAGTGGAAAATTACATGATGTAAATTTCTCAGTGATTAAAAATTAGAACTGATCCTGGAACATGAACTTTCTCCTACATAAGGGTAAATCAGATAGGGTAGGTTAACGGGTCCCTTACAGGCTGCTAGCCATATAAAACTCCAGAACCAAAACTGCAAGTAAACCGGTAGTTGATGCAAAGTTATTGGAAAACATCAGCGGTTAGTTAGAAATCATTAATTATGATGAATGTATCATAAAAACACCCTCACTTCATGGAATGGTTCTCCATATGACAGTATTAAGATATTCACTATCCCCCCCCCCCTCTCCCCAATAATGAAGTCCTTGTTGTAAGTCACACTCACTCTACCAGAGTTTCAATGCATCATTTAACAAAAATATTTCACTATTTATTCAGTGAAACTCAATGAAAATACACTGAAAACTGTATAATAAGGATTATCATAGCTTGCATTCATCACCTTGCTCTGTGTAAGTACATATTATATAGCCAATGAAGCATGTAGTGTATATATGGGAACTAAAGAAAAATACATCTGAAAGTGGTGCTGGAAAGACTGAAGAAATGGCAGAAGTGTACATTAAAACTGTTCAGAGGAAAAGGGGTTGCAGTTAAATAGAATGAATCGAGTTTAGATGTAGGAATTTGTTATTCTGATAATGAATCTTCAGGTTAATCAGCTGCACAGACAATGAATAACTACCTTGCCTTGTGCATCCACTGGAGCATCCTTCTGCAGCAGTAACTTGGCGACATTCAAGTTTCCATATTTTGCAGCCAGGTGAAGTGGCGTAAAACCCTTCTTGGTTGTTGCAGTCAGTGAACCGCCATGTTCCAAGAGCACTGATGCCACCTGGACACACATTTACAGACAATTCTCATGCTGTTTTATTATGTGACATAAAAATGGCAGGAATGCGTTTAGAGAGGGTTCATCCTGTCATCACCCCGCCCCATAAAATATCTAGAATGACATAAATAAAACTCTTTTCCCCTAAAATTTTTCATTAGAAAGGAAGGTGTATGATGAAGAGCTGAACATAAATGTCAACATACTACCTGATTTGTGAATCTATATAATACAATGTAGTTCAAAATAATTATTAAGATCTCTGCCCCAAAATAAAATCCCAGCCATACTCCTGGCCCTGTTGCTTCATGTGTAAATGCATGTCATAAATACATTCCAAAGCCAGAAAAGTTCTGAGTTTTGGCAGTCAGAAAGTGAATTCAGAACCAGTAACACAAAAAAAAAACGTTAGCAAAGAAATCTGACTGCATACTGACAAACTTTTAACTGTCAAAACTTTTACAATCATGCTCTTTTTTGTATCTCCTTAGCAGTATGCGTTAATCTGAATTCTCAGGAATGTAAAACATGTCTCTAAACATATAATACAGCTGAATCCATTTATTATTTAAAACATAATTTTACAGTTTGATCCACAATTTCAACTTGCTACTGAAGTGCCCTTTTATATAACAATAAAATTCTACTGAACAAATCTGACAAAAAATTATAAGTTTCTAGTCCAGTCAGCACATACAAAGAGTCACTTACACACACTAGCAGTGACAAAAATTCTGAGAAAACTATTAAAAAACACATTAAGAGATATTTTACAATATGCCATGATGAGGAAGTAAAAATTTCAACTACAGCATAATTACACTGAGCAGCATAATTACACTGAGCTACAAAAAGTCATTTTGCTGAATCTTCATACTCAAGAACTCACCTCCTCCTGCCCTTCCTTAGCTGCAATATGAAGTGGTGTGTACAGATCCTTCGTAGTTGCATCCACTGCTGCCCCATGCTGCAGTAGGAGCATCACAATGTCGACATTGCCAAGTCGTGAAGCTACATGTAAAGGGGTTTGTTCCTCCTACAGAACAAATGACCCTATTAACATGATTCTTAAAGGTTCTGACAATGGTGTATAACACTAAGGATTACTGAGTTTGGACTTCGTCTATCATCTGGTATTCTAAAGAGCACAACCCTTCAGGAACCACATTGGTTTCCATCCTCAGGTGAAATGGAGGAGGCACATAATCTGCTGGATCCAGTGATGACTGAGATTAGCTCTATGCAATGGGCACAATGGAGTAGGTGCCTCTCACCCCACTATCTGAGGTAGCAACAGATCCAGTTTTCATATGTTGTGTTCTTTAGAAGGGACCAAGTGCAAACACTCAGTAATCCCATTAATGTAAACAGCAGCAGCAAACATATTACACACAACACCTAGTACATAAAGAATTACTGCATGCATTTCTTATATAATCATTTATTCTGTACCCTATAAATGTAGCCCTGTACTACATCCTTACATCTGTGGCTCTTAATTTTTTAGTTTCTATTCATAGCTGTGTAAGCTAAAATAATAGATCTCCACACACTAAGCAATCTAAACACTCTGATCCAGAAGAAACTTATGTTCATATCAGATCTGATTCTCAGCTGGTTCAAACCAACTCACATCCTCTCGAAATATTTCTCCAAAATAATCCACTCTCAGTAAATATTAAACACAAATCCTAAATGCACTTCTGTTCCCCACATGCATTTCGGTTCAGGAATCGTCTCCAATAAGAGTACATGTGAGATAAACAGAGTTGTGGATAATCCTGAAATGAATCTTACATAAATATATTGCGAAGTGGACTGGACTGGATTGAAGAGAGGATCCAAAAAGGAGGTGTGGTGATCACCATGAAAAAACTTTGAATTCTAAAACAGTGAGGACTGATTAACTGTCTTTTCACTCTATTCTGCCGTTTCTTCAGAAATGACAATAAATATAAACAGATCCTGAATCTCTTATGCATTTTTTTATTTTACAGTGCCCTTTCAGCACTGACAATGTTAGGTTAAACAGGAATATATTAGAGATCAGATTATATGACAGGATAGTACAATGTGACATCTACTGAATGTGAAAGAATATTCAAAATGCTACTAACCCTGGCCTTAGCATCCACCTGTGCCCCATTGCGCAGAAGGATGCGAATGATGTCTGTCTGATTGGCTCTGGCTGCCAGATGGAGGGGAGTTTCTCCACGAACAGTAGGGACATCTGGATTAGCATTATGTTGCAGCAGGTAGATAACAATGTTCATGCAGCCCATGAAGCTGGCGACATGCAGTGGTGTGAGTCCCGACTGGAAAATATACATCTTGTACTATAAAACCTGATCACCACTGGCACTCAATAGTCCTCTAATTACTCACAATCTGCTGGAATTTAAAATCTTAGTCTATGTGAAGTAAATTCATAATTACATTTGTGGGTACTTTTCTGTTCCTTTGGTGACGTCATGATACTGGTGTGTTTATATTATCATAAAATTTTGTTGCACATATTACAGGGCAGAGACTGCTTGTCAGAGATGCACTGAAAGACTGCACATCATTGTATTATTTGTAATTACTGCCCAAGTCAGATACCAACAACTGGGATCCCTGTGACTATCCACCTCTGAAAGGAGGCTTTTGCTCAGTGTTCAGGACACCACAGTCGACCTGGATATTACTTTACACTTCTTAATAAAACAGTAATCTGTCTAAAGTACTCATTCATCTCAAGCTTAATCATTCCTGTACCACATAATTGAGACAAGGCATTCGATGCTCCAGCAGACTTAGTGTTGCTTTGTTCATAATTTAAATCCCATTACCACAAGTTTAAATCAGGCCACCAGCAATGTAGTAGTGGGAAATTTAAATCAAAATGATAAAGACTAAACATAAATGAAAGGAGAAGTACATAATGCATGCATAAATACAGCACACAATCAGTGGTGCCAAATATAGGAACCAGAGAACTCCCATATTTATCTTTCCCATGGCAGCAAGAAATCCATATGAAAGAACCAGTTTCAAGCATAAAGTAGGATGGTTCGTTTGTTCGTTCATTCATTCATTCATTCATTCAAATTCATAATTGCTACAACAGCAACATGTGAACAAGTCACATCATTTAATAATAATAATAATAATAATAATAATAATTTTATTTAACAGTCATCACAGTTACAAATTGTAACTCTCGAACAAGTCACATACATATACAACTTTTCCAGTCTAATTGGCCTCCTGCCCAATTGATTGAACGTCATCATAGTGTGACATGTTGCGCAATGGAGAACCCCTCCCCGCCAGCAGTGACGTGGCGGGTGAGTCAGTGCTCCGTCACCCCCCCCTCCGCACGGTGACATAACACACAACGCAGCTGTGACACGGGTAACTGGCGATAGCGGTACCCACTGCATAACAGGCAGGCACTGCAACTATATCAGAAAGCTACACTGCCTACGAAGACAGTCGAGTTGAAATGTGGCCGTCGCCGAGTGCAGTTGAAGTCAGTTAAAGTGTATCAGCTGCCAAAGTGAGTTCTCCAGTCAGCAGCGAACGAGTTAGTGTGTGTTAAGGAGTGGCGCCGTGAAATATAGCAGCCGCCGAAGACAGCTGAGTGTGTGATACAGGGACACTTACATAGTTCCCGTATCGTAATTAATACGTGTAGCCTACTGAAGATAGAGTGAATTGATTTGCGAATAGGGTTATAAATTGTGAAACCCCACATCAGTGTGAACAGATTACTGCAAATAGGGTTATAAAGTGTGAAACCCCGCAACTGTGTTATAATTAATTGTAGCCGAGACTTGTAGGTTGTTAAATAAACCAATTAACAATCCGAACGGCGTCTTCAGTACCTGAACACGTTACAATATACAGTATCCTGGTATACAGGAGGACAGTAAGATACTGTTGAAAAATCTGGGAGGATGCCTCTCCCACCTTAATATCAAAAGCTAACCTTCACACAGTGCAACTCACTTTCAAAAACAAATGCTAACATACTTCTGATGTGGAGTAAACACAATATCATAAATTACATTAAGTTAACTGTAGGCTTGGATTTGAATTACATGATCTGTTAACAGCAAGAAATAAATGACACTGGTGAAAAGATATAAACAAATCAATCAGTCAAATGAAGATCAAGAAAAAATTTTGCAAGATGGCTGATAAACAATATGCTAAATGGAACAGAACTTATATTTGAACAAAGAAGTGTTGTCAGAAGCATTACTACTCACTTCAGTGGTAGCTTCAATGGATGCCCCATACTTGAGCAAGAGTTCAACCACCTTAAGCCTGTTCTTCTTGCATGCAATGTGGAGTGGTGTGAAGCCATTGAGGGCTCTTGCATTGGGATCTGCCTTGCGATCTAGCAGCAACTTGGCTACGCGTACATGACCACAGTGTGCTGCCACATGCAGGGCTGTTAGGTAGTCGACTGTCACATCATCCACAGGGGCTCGATGGTACAGTAGAATGCGAGCTGCATCCACATGGTCACCCTGTGCTGCCATGTGGAGTGGGGCCAGTCCATTCTGTACACACGTAAGACATGGTTTTTACTGCCATCAATCAACACTAATAATTCAATATTTGAAACTTTCTATTTTCACTTGTTCCTTATGTCACACTGAAAATGAAATGTAACATTGAATGATTGCCAAAAAAAAATGCACATTCAAGTCTGCTATTCAGATGATAAAGTCATATGTGGTTATGTAATTATTTGGGTAATTCTCTCATTCCTCCTGTCATAATGTATTATAACACAATTTTACAAAACTTAACTTTCCATCTCTCTCTCCCCCCTCTCCCCCCCTCTTTCTCTCAAAGATCCATTTTAGTATTGTTCACCCACCTACATCTTGGTCTTCCCAGGGGTCTCTTTCTTTTTGGCTTTCCCAATATCCTATAGGCATTTCTTTTCTCTCCAATTCATGCCACATGACCTGCCCATCTCATCCTCCTTGACTTGTTCATTCTAATTACACTTGGAGAAGAGTAGAAGTTATGAAGCTCCTCATTATGCAGTTTTCTCCAACCTCCTGTGATTTCACCTCTCTTTGGTCCAAATATTCTCCTCAACACCCTGTTCTCAAACGCCCTCAGTCTATGTTCCTCCCTTAATGTCAGAGATAAAATTTCACACCCATAAAGAACCACAGGCAAAATTAGTTTTGTATATTGTAATTTTTATGTTTTTAAACAGCGGACAAAAAGACAAAGGGTTCTGAGCTGAATGCTAGCAAGTATTACCTGAGTTCAATCTCCTCTTAATTTCCTCCTGATTCAGGTTTTGATTTGTTATAGACATTCTCAAATTTTTACTATCTGGATAAAATAAAGTATGACCTTACACACGGTCAAACCATCTCTTAGGTGTAATTTAGTCAACTCCTAAGGAACTAGCAATAATGCTCAAGTGCCTATTAGATACTATAGGGTTCTGCCTATTAGTTTCATCATATTCATCTACCAGTAAATCCAGTTTTAAGCTGACAATTTATGATTAGATCCAGTACTGAGACTTCTTATGAAAACGTATGCATCATCTTTAATTCTGATTCATGTCGCACAATATGAACAGCCACTTCACATAATAGTCTGCATATATTTTTAGAAAACTTCAACACAGAGATTAAATCTGAACACATTACACAGAATTTGTAGCTTCTAGTGTGGAAAATATGTTTATAACAATGACAGCTGTAAGACAAACTTCCTTCTGGTATGTGCAAAACCACAAGTTTTACATAGCCTATTTAATTAATTTACATTCATATTCATTAATATATTCAGAAAAACACTTCAGATGTAGATAACTGTTTCAACCTCTATCTTCTTTGCAGCACATATGGGAGGAATTTTTGTAACTTGAATGAGGACTTACTTATGCATGAGGAAAAGAAGTACAGTCCAAAACTGCCTACAGTGACCAACAAAGCAGTGGAAGAATTTTCTGTAACCACTTACAATATCCCATAGTATAACTGCAGGAAGATACTAATCTACCTATTCTGCCGAAGTAAAACAACTTTCTAACTTTACTTACACTGACTTGCTATATGTATCTGTATTTTTCAATTTCTTTTTCAACATTGCCTATGCTCTTCTACATTTAGGACAGTAAAGGAAGTTCCCAAAATTTCTCAAATTGGCCTGCACAACTAGAAAATGTGCAGAACTATCCAAACCTGCTGCCACATGGTACCCATATTTTACTGCCTTACTGTGTCTTCCACAGAAATGTAAAACAGCCACCACCTCCTGAAATTCAAGCATTTTGTCTGAATCCTTCATATTTAATACAAGATTTGGCCTTTACTTTGCGCATATTTATTCTTGCAGGCATGCAGAAGCTCATTTGTAGTGACAAACATGTCCTGCCATAGCTCAGGAAGTTAGTTCCTGGCTTCCCAGCGCTCTGGCCCGGGCTTCATCCAAAATCAGTCGTATGGGATTTGTCATTGAAAAACGGAATTTTGGCAGGATTTCAGCTGAGCAAACCAGTTTCCCTTGCCAGTTCTCATTCTACCAACAACTCTAGCTCATCATCATCGTCATCATCATCATCTAAGGCTAGTAGAATAGATCAAGTACTGGCAGGTGTAACAAGTGTATCCAGTTTCACCCCAACCTACAATCTGACAAACACTATTACTTTACCTTAGTTTTGGATCTTATGGGTGCCTTGCTCTCCAGTAACAAGTCCACAACCTGATCGTGTCCTGATCGTGCTGCACAGTGCAGTGGTGTCAGTCCATCTCGTGTCTTGGCTTCTATATCAGCTCCTTTATTGATGAGTAAAGACACCATATTGATCTTTCCCCACTTGCAGGCCACATGGAGGGGGGTGATATTGTGCTGCAACAAATATAAATGTTAACACATTTACTGCCAGAATCAACCTAAGCTGATTTACTAGACTTCAATCCTGAGAGAGCTACCAACTTAACCTGGCAGCATTGACTTAAACTGATTGAGTGCAACTCTCCTTATATTTAATTGCTTATATTATGACTGTCGACACAACCAGTAATATGGGAATATCTTCAAGAAAGACAATAGGTGTTGGTATATCTCTTACCTGTTTAATATAAACATAACTGGGCTACATGTTTCCACCATATACTTAGGTCATCATCAGGCATTCATGAACATAACTCAAGTGTTTAAAATTGGTTATAATATGGATCCGTATTAATCACTTCAGTTATGTTCATGAGTGCCTGATGACAACCTAATTATATGGTCGAAACACGTAGCACAGTTACGTTTATATTAAACAGGTAAGAGATATACCAACACCTGTTGTCTTTATCGAAGATATTCCCATATTACATGTTGTGTCGACAGTCATAATATAAGCAATTAAATATTATAAACACAACAGGATGCAGTCTATAAACTCTCCTTATGCCTTGGATGTGACTGCAAATGAGTTCTTCACTAGTGAATATTAAATTTCTTGACAGGTTATTTCAGTCACTTGGCATTCGTCTCCGTTTTATTTCCCTTCTCTCTATTCTTGTACTTATGCATTTCTGTTTAGCCTACAAACCCATGTAAGATATGGCACTTGTATGAGGTCACAGCTGAACTATGGTCTAAGTACCAATTCTGTTTGTTTTTATTGGTTCCACAAGTAAGGCACAGCAATGAACAGATTTTAGAACAGCCCAAAGAAAAGGAAATTGCAGAATATGTAAATAACAGCAATTTTGATATCTACGCTATTAGACTTATCATAAGACAACAATGAAGATGACATTCTGGAATCAATAACAATTACTTTAACAGTGCACAACTTACAGAAGACCTCTTGGACATTGACATAAGTGTGTGAAACTATAAATTAAATTGTGATCTTCATAAGAATTTTGGTGAAGACACTGGTGTTGGACCCTAAGAACAAAGACGGGAATCAGCCTTGGTCATGTCACCTCTAGGACTTCAATAAGTTATGCATAAAAGTAAAATGCTTATGACAAACAACATGAAATATAAAATATGAACTATTATCAAAATTCCCCTACCAGTCTATTCATTAAGAATAAAACTAATTACAACTACACAGACTACAAGCGAGCATGCGGTCATGAGCGCGGTTAGCATCTGGTCAAAATGGAGACACTACAAGTATAGTGGTGTTTTGCACAGATGTTCAAATGTTTGTCACCTTCTCTGACCATCCTCAGTCATGCATAAAACCCCTCTGAATTAGACATTCTTCCACCTGGCATAAGAAAAATCTAAAACCATAAAAAGTAACTTTTTGACAGAAGTTACACTTTCTTCAGTTTCTGAGGGAAGCAATAGGTGAACATTAAACACTAACACCAACAAAAAAGAAGGTGCCCTTTTATCTTTGCCATGTACTCAGCGCACACTTTCTAGTCTGTGCAGTATATATGGAACTCACAATACCTACTCAAAGGTCAAGAGGTCAGAGATGTCAGGGGGAGAGGGAGGGGAAAGAGTGGGGAGGGGGTATAACAAAGAAGACATTAATTGTGATTTTTTGTCTCTACAAAGATACTCTTGTGCCATCAAAATTATCCACTAATAATCACATACTGAAAGACTGAATGGACAGCATACAAAAACCTCAAGCTGATAAATACCTAACAAGACACTGTACAGCAATACAGAAAATCATCAAGCAGGGGAAAAAGAAAACTACTCCATACGGTATCATATTCTTACTGTGATTAACAACTACACAATTTTCAAATATTCTTTTTTTCAAAATTTGCAAAACGTGATTCTTTCATTCAGACAGAGCAAAACCCGAAGACAAAACTTAAAACTCTCACATTTAAATGAGGCCTCCATTTAAAAGCCCAGAAGTGAATGAGTTAATTGTGTGGTCACAGAAACCATACACTCAACACTGCTAACTCCAAAGGCTGCCAGTGAATATAAGCCTAGGTAACTCAGTCCAGATTACACACACCCTCACTCCTTAAGACTGGTTTTAATGCTATTCTCCAGCCTCTTCTTCAATGTTTCATGTAACCACTACTCAACTTGCTTCCCTACAAAAAATTACGGGCATTTCTTCTTTCTTTCACCCAAAATATTGCATCCAAATCTTCACAACTTACATGATCTGACTACCTTCAGAACACCAAAAGCATTCAATACATCATGCAGAACTTCATTTTTTTAAACATAATAAACTTATGCTATATAATTTTTAAATAAAAATGACATGGCACACTAAATTAGATCACACACTGTAATCAGTGTAAACTTCTAAAAATTTGACTGACCTTGGCAGAGAAGTTGACATCTGCTCCTCTCTGATGGAGCAAATTTGCAATTGCTTCGTTGCCATAGTGTGCAGCTATGTGAAGAGGTGTAAATCCACTCTTTGATGTCACATCTGGGTTGTGGTCATTCTGAATACATAAATATTATCACAATTAGAATGAGATGAACTAATGAACTCATCCTATCTGAATTCAATCTAGATGCTTGCAACCCATTTTAATATTGCATCTGTATCCTGAAAAAATAAAAACAAATCAATAAACAGATGCACAATTAAACAACTAAATTTATAAATAAACTATATAAAAGTAAATATACTCTGAAACATAGGCACTCAGCAGCATAGCTGCTTGAGGCACTACGCTACAAGCTGGAAGGTCACAGGTTTGATTCCCCATAAGGTCGCTGGATTTTTAATTGACCTAATCCTTCCAGCCACACAATGACCCTGGAGTCAACTCAGCCTCTAACATAAATGAGTACCAGGAATCTTGCTAGGGTTGAAGGGCGGCCAACACATAAGGCTGAGGTCACTACAATCTATTAGCCAACTGTCTAGAAAATGGTGGACCCCAACAGCTCACAACCCTATGGGCCTCCATGGCCCATAAATAATACAATAATACATAAATAATAATAAATAATAATAATAAAGAATACATAAATATACAATATGTAACTGAAAATACATAAGGAGAAAATAAACACACACCAGAAACAAGGGAATAAACCAAAAGAATGTCAGTAAATAAATAATACCTAAAATAAATAACTTTTGTTTTACAGAAACTTACAAAAAAACTCCATGGTTTTAGTCCGCAAGCGAACTATACCGACCAAGTAACTGCCACTTGTCAGCGAAGTTAGTGCCAACTTTAGCAGATAGAGGGTGTTTCGTGGTCAGCGCAACGAATCACCACGTCTGTTAATTTCGGTTTTCTAGACTGGAGCCCTATTTCCTTGAAATAGCTCCTCAATTATCCTCATTAGGCTGACTGGACCCCATTCGAGACACACTACTTCCCAGAAAATTTGGTACTCCCAGGAATCAAACCCGGACCTCTGGATCTGTAGCCAAGAACTCTGACCATTAGACCACAGGTTAACAAAATTTCCTGCCTTGGTGAAATACCTTCAAAACATATAAATTATGCACTATATTTGTAAATTAATATCAAACACATTCTCTGAACAGAGAAGCCAAATCCATTGCACTCACTTGCAGGAGCAAAGCGGCAGCCTTGCAATCATCCTTCTTGGCAGCGATATGGAGAGCAGGTAGACGAACTTTACCCCGGGTATCATTTTCCAGAAGCACTGCAACAACCTTGTCATGCCCTTGCTGCATTGCCACAGCTAAAGGGGTGAATCCATCCTGAAACAAGCGCACGATTAGGTAAATACCACTACTTCTACAATCTGTAAATACCTGTAAACGGTACTAGATCTTTCAGCCCCAAATTTCTTAGCTGTTATAGTACGCAATTCTTTGTGCACAATGTTGTCTTATGGAAGCCTGAAGTTGGAGCGAGAAAATCTGGATGATGATGATATGACAACGAAGGTGGCAGCAACGACAGTGGCTGCAGAGATGACGATGACGATGAAAATTTGTGGTGGACAAAGTGGCACTGGGAAAGGTTTTCTCTGAGTGCTTCAGTTTCCCCGGAGATAGGGACTAGATCTATCAATTGAGCCAAACAGAGTACATTTTTACCTAAAGACGGAGACAGACTCCAGTCTCCGAAACGTTGTGTTTCGAAAAATAAACAGGACGGTTTTTAGAAAAAGACAAGACAATGGTTAATATCCAAAAACATAGTATTTGTACTTTTAGATCTTATTAAGAGACCTATAAGTCATAAATGGTTTAGGCACAGTCCTGTTAAAACCTTGTTGCATGAAGGAAAGGGTGTCTGTCACCTGTGTCATATGTCAGGTAAAGGAACTGCAGAAAGGGACACCTATTTCTCCAAGACATGCAGTAAAAAGGTGTTCTTACATATGGAAAAGTGCTATGAACTGTACTCCACAGAAAACTTCAAAAAATGTTGTGAACAGTTCAATCCTCAAACTGGAGTCAGCACATTCCTCTGAAACCGCAGTACCCAACTACAAGACTATATTGTGTTACAACCCAGAAGACTTCACCCTGAGCTTTAAAATAATTTGTAAATACATATCAGAGTAATGTCACTAGTGACATATAATGCAACAGACGGTACATTTCTTCCTGCTACATATGCTGAATGGAACCAAATGGTCAAAAATTCCCTCCTGACCTCCATACAGTTAAAAAATTGTTTTCATATGTGTAAAAACCAAAATAACTGGACTGATAGCGATAAATCTGTGGCAAGTGTTATAAAGTCAGTGAGTACAGAGTGCAGTGAAATTTATGTTGTTTTTGTGAGAGCAAATTCACTTTAAAAACTTTGCATCATGTGATCACAGTTCTTGCAGATAAAAGTGGATTTCGGACATTCTGGTTGGTTTTATATACAATTTAAGAAATTAACTTGCTACAAAAAAAAATACTATATTTACTTGCTAAGGGTTAAAATGAATTTCTGAGAAACCTGTTCTCAGGCCAATGAACTGCAGTTAATTATTTCAAAAAAGAGTCTACTGGTAGTCTCTCATGGTGTTAGTGATGAACCCACAATGGAATAATTAACAGTATCTTACAATTTACATACCTCTGTTGCTAGACTCTGATTGGCTCCCTTACTGAGCAGGAACTTAACCACATTATCATGATTCTCCTGAGCTGCCATGTAAAGAGGGGTGAAGCCATTCTGCGACTGCATGTTGACAGAAGCGCCATGCTTTACAAGGAGCTTCACAACATCTTCCTGTCCAGCTACACAATAAAAACCACATATTAAAACTTCAATCCTACTGTTCTGCATTACATGCTGGGCACAACAGACAACAATTACTGATATACAAGTATTCAAACATGTATCCTCACACATAATCACATCTCAGCATTATGTATGATGGTGAAGCTAGGGTAATAATGAATGAGAAAATAAAATCCAATTGGCTGAAATGAAATTTTGAGATTATTAAGGGGATGCACAAGAACGGATAAAATGAAAACGAAGTAATCAGTCAGAGACACTGGGTTTTCAGACTTTATCCATCATCCTGGTTTTTAAGATAACTCTTTCTAAGGGACCCAACAGAATAGGTGTTTTCCCTCACGTGAGGACGGAAACAGATCCAGTTTCCAAAACGTCGTGTTTTTATTAGTTATCTTAAAAACCAGAACGACGGATAAAGTCTGAAAACCCAATATCTCAGTGTGTTATACACCATCATCAGAATCCTATAGTAACTACGAAGTAATCAGTGTTGCATTATTGTAGGAAGTGGTTTGAATAGTTAGAAACAATCAATGATGTAAAGATACCAAAAATCTAAAAGCAAGGTCAAGAATAAGATGATGTGATGCCAAATTACAAAATCTAATCCATAAAACAAATCTTTATAGAGTGCATCCTGTTGCATGATCAAACTAATCTAACTGCCTTGTTCCGTCTACACAACTCTAAGAATGTATACCCATTCAACTGCTTATTAAAATCACTACATGCTGTATGGCCAAACATGCAATGATTTTTAATAAACAGTTGAATGGGTATACATTCTCATAGTTGCATAGATGGAACATGGCAATTAGATTACCGTAATACAGACTTCATTTATTTTTATAATATAATAGAATTACTTGTCTTCTAAATATGATCAATTTTATTAACATCTTGCAACATCGCAGTTCCTCCCACCTTAGAATAAATACATTTAATGAAAACCAAAGTAGAAGGAATTCACACTAAAACATATATTAGAGATATAAATCAACCTTTGTTGGGGATATGGATGAAGATAAAGCATATTATATTGAAAATGTTGAAGTATTATGTATAAAATAACAATTAGTAGTATTTCTTTATAATTTAGTTACAGAGATCTTTATGCGAGTTTCATTAGAATAAATAAAATTCAACAGATATCATTACTGGCACTGTTCAGAAACATAAAGGCTGCAAACATCCATGATTTCTGCATAATTTAAAATGTTTTTTAATCTGTGATCTTTAATGTGTATTGAAAGTGTGGGAGCCTTCCACAGTGAAGCAAGTGCTACCCAATTAGCGCTCACCATGGCAGATCCAATGCCAATTGGATAGCATGCTGCCACCTTGCGGTAAATTATAAAGATGCAGACATCTGGCACTCTAGCAGCAAGGACATTCAAAATCCCTTACGTGTATGATTACATAACAAAATTATGCAGACAACAAGCAGAAGTCATACAAAATCATGATAATGAGAATGTTCGCAACATTGGACAAGGCGAAGCCCGACACAGAAAGTATAAGAGGCTTAAACTTGGCGGCGGTTAGGCATACGACCGTTCAAGTGACTAGACTGCCGTGGTAGATAATATTACTAGGAAATATATATATATAAAAGGGCATAATCTGCTGTACCTAGCCTGGACTGGCAGAGGCCGTGTATATATTGTACATTTAAATAAGAAATAAGTGTGTATTGTAAATATGTGTAAATACAGACAGTGGACTTAGTAATACAGACTGACTGACAAATGACAGACCCGACCTCTCGTCAGAGAGGGCGCTACACATAGACAAGACAGTAACTTTCATTCAAAAGAAATATCTGGTCATGAGCCCCAGCTGGGGCTCGACACCAAGACAGACAGACTGACTGACCGTCAGTTGCAACGTGACTCTGACTCTGACTCTGACTCTAGCAGTACATTCAGTGGTTAGACTGCCATTGAAGCGGAAGCTACTAGAAATAGGGCATAATCTGCTGCACTGAGCATGGACTGACAGAGGCTCTGCATATATTGTACATACATTTATTATCATGTGTAACATGTAAAATGCAAATATCTTTCGCACTGAGACAAATGACGTATTAATACAGACAACTCTGACAAAAGACAGATCCATCCTCTCATCAGAGAGGAAGCCCACAAAGGCAAGATTGTGACAGTCAAACAGTAATAAATATTTGGTTATTAGCCCCACATAGGGCTCCACACCAAGAGTGAGTGAGTGAGTGGGTGGGTGAGTGAGTGGGTGAGTGGGTGAGTGGGTGAGTGAGTGAGTGAGTGAGTGAGTGAGTGAGTGAGTGAGTGAGTGAGCTGGACTGGACTGGACTGACTGTGACCTTGATGCTAGCAGCAGTCACAACTATGCTTGCATCAAAAGAACACTGCAACAGTGAGTCTACTAGTAACCACACTGCAGCCAACTCTGCTAGCAACCACCAGCGCTCATGAGGCCGGCCTGCGAGCCTCACCGCCACTAGCACCAGCTAGCCCACTACTGCAATATCTTTGCCCGGCATCCTACCAGCTTGAAATCACTGAGCTGCTGCAAGGATGAATGCGAACACTAGCATTGGCTAGCCCGCTGTGACAAGAGCTTTGCCCAGCATCCAGCAGACATGGCTGGCTTCCAACAAACGGCCCTTTTCAGGGACAACAATATCACCACTGTCACTAGCTCAGGTTAGTCTGCTAAGAAGGGATTTTTCACCAGTATTCATAAGCGTTCTCTGTTTCCCTGCTTGTCTGTAATATTCATTCTAACAGCAATAAACAGTTGTTGTAGATTTACATGCTTGTCTCTCTGCGCCACCAGATCCGACATCCCACAGAAGTACACACAATCAGTCTAACAGCTGGTAATATTACAAGCTTTACAGACATCAAAAGAAAACTTACATAAACAAATTATGTATGTGTTGTGAAACTCTCAGCTAGAACACAATTATTCCAGTTCCAAGATAAGCAAGGCAGAACCATCACTTACTACATCAAGGTCTTAGAAACAAATAACTTTACACAATTTTAAGTTTTCTGCCTTCTGGGAAGTGACACTGTATAGTCTGGCACATGTTTACAAACACTTCAGAGGGAGACAGGATATTTTGTAGAAACATCAATAAATATTTAGCAGACTACATGGCTATCACATCCCACACAACAGTAAACTTTATGACTCACTGCTGTGATAAATTCAGATTATATATACTACCACAGCCAATAAGTTCGTGGAATGGCCACAAAGCATCCTATGGGAATTTACTGCCAGTATATTTCAGCAATGTTTTAAACAGCTATATCAACGTTGGCAGACTTCCATAGCGGCCAACGGCAACTATTTTGAGGGCCAATGTGGATCTGTGTAAGTGTATGTGAATACCTTGTAACNGTTTCATTCCCCTACACGCCCTCCTGTGAAACACGTCTATCGGACGGGTCGCTATTTTTAGCCAGCTACAGACAGTGTTCTCGTTATCTCGACCCTTGAGAGGTGCCTAAGGCGTGGTGGGTTGGTATGTCCGACCACGGCTAATGTGGCGGCTACTGGTGTTCAGAACAGTTCTCATTTCGGTGTTACTTACATACGGTAAGTTAAAATGACGTTCTACGAAGAACTAGAACATGTATTTGATAAATTCCCAAAGTACCATATGAAAATTTGGTAAGTTTCAATTAAACCAAATCATTAAGATAAGCAACGGAAATATCAACATCATTTCTGTATTGTATATAATTGTATCAACATCATTTCTGTATTGTATATTATTGTAACTACTAATAACTAAACTTGTATCACCTGCAAATAAAACAGATTGGACTGAGTTATTAAAAATTTTAGGTGAACACAGTAATGAACTTTCAGGTTCCATAAAATGCTGGTTACTTCTTGAGTAGCTGCACAATTGGTGATTCCCAAGGACTCCACTCCATGAGTGAGTGAGTTTAAAATGACTTGACCATGAATATAACATAAAGTAAACAGAGAACAATGTGGTGCCTAATAAGTGGAGAAAAATGAGCTAATACAAAGCAACCTGAGGAATAGTAAGGTGAGCTCAGTGTGTGAAATGAATAATTAGTTCAAGTTCGGTTTGGTTACCTCATGTTAGATTTTATAAGAGTTTGCCTGGTAGCTGGGCTGAATTGAGCCGAGCCGAGCTGAGCTGAGCTGAGCTGAGCTGAACTGAACTGAGACAAGGGATATGATATTATAAGACATAAGATATGATCTGATAAGGGAAGTTCTGGTATCTTCAATACATTTTAAGTAATTCTATGCAAGTCAAGGTTATCTGAGATACTAACTGATCATGAGATGGCCGCGCCATAGCTCAAGCAGTTAGTCGCTGGCTTCCCACCGCGGCGACACGGGTTCGATCCCGGGTCTGGTCAAGTGGGATTTGTGGTGGACAAAGTGGCACTGGGGCGGGTTTTCTCCGAGTGCTTCGGTTTCCACTGCCAGTCTTCATTCCACCAAATTCTCCATCATCATAATCAATTGGGGCAGCCTACAATAGGCCAATCAGTGGCCGCCATGCCGAGTGGACCCAGTTGGACTCCACCCCCCACTAAGCGAATAAAGAAACTGATCATGAAGGATGCTGAGGCAGAGAAAGATAAACTTAAATTTAGGACAGGGTATGTTAGGACAGAGTTAGGTGAAGTATGATTGGGTTAGATCAGATTCAGTAATGTCACACAATTTGTGGTTTGGTTATGGTGCAATGAGGCAAGTTTGGGAAACATGACTTATGTTGAAGTACAAGTAAATGTGGGTAAGTTGTAGAAACTAAAGTAACTGTACCTCAAATGTACCTGAGATACATTTGGAAAACTTGAGGTACAGAAAAGTAACATTAGGTAAATGAGGTTAGATTGTGTAAATTAACGTACATGAGGTAATGCTATATTTTAGCGTCCTGTTGCACTGATTTAAGTCCATGATTTATTTTATCCGTCTTCTAGTGCATACATTTATTTATCCCCTCTTTTCACTCTCACTACATGTTTCGGCACCAATGTGCCATCTTCAGGTGCTGATCCAATCCACGACAAACTAATTCATTGCATGCCTTGTCTTTACATACTAAAATAACTAAAATATATATTTATCATANGATAAATAAATGTATGCACTAGAAGACGGATAAAATAAATCATGTACATGAGGTAACTGTTGTTAAGTTGAGATAAGCCTGGACCCTGACAGTATACACTGTGCTGAGCAACACATGCTGGTCACAAGGTTAGGAAGACGTTGAAAGAATCCAAACTTACCAAGAGAAGCAATATGCAACGCAGTGTTGCCCTTCTTTGTAGCTGCATCAACAGTTGCCCCACGCTTCAAAAGGTCTGCTACTATCTCTAGGTGACCATCCTTTGCTGCCAGATGAAGAGCATTCAAGCCATTCTGCATATACATACACATAAATCTGTAGTTACCACGGAAATTACATACCCTGTCAATTCACAACAATTTTAAAAGTAGGATGAAGGAAGGAACATTTAAAACAAATAGAAATTATCACTATCAGTATGGCGGGTGATACAAGCAGAATGGTATGGGATGTATCAAGACAACAATAAGACAAGCAACAATATAAACAAAAATGAAATGTCAAAAAAATAAATAATCAATCAAAACTGCCCAATATGGCAAACCTGGCTGTCTGGGCTATCAGAATGTTATGAAAGCAGGAGTAAAACTGCACTCAATATGTGACTTTCCTGTGATGATTTAGTTGTCCAATTTCCCATCCAAGGATGTTACAAACATTCTTACAATACACACTGGTGACTGAGTCATGTTGCTATAACCATTTTATCTTCAGTGGAGGAAATGTTACTACCAAATCAAACGAGACCTAACATTGGTATTATAACCACATTTGGAAGCAAGGCTGTGATAGTAATCAATAAAACAGATATGAAGAAAGAAGAGGGTATACTGCACACAAAGGTAAAACTTTGAGGGGGATGATCTCAGCCATTTTTTTTTTTTTTTTGAAAACAAGAAAATTACAATGTTATGAGGGTAAGAGAACACACATGAACTACTTCAAATTTCTCTGAAAATGTTATTTCAATTATATTGTAGTGTCGCACATTTACTTACTCATGGAGCTGAGCCCTTCTTGAGGAGCCGCCAATTCTGCAGCTACTCAACAATTTCCCAGCATTTTATGGAACCCGAAGGTTCATTACCGTGTTCACAAGAGCCCTCCTCCGGTCCCTATCCTGAGCCAGATCTATCCAATCCATACCATCCCATCCTATCTCTCTACAATCCATTCTAATATTGTCCACCCACCTACGCCTTGTTCTTCCCTGTGGCCTCTTTCCTTTTGTCTTTCCCACCAATATCCTATATGCATTCCTCGTCTCCCCCATTCGTGCTACATGACCTACCCACCTCATCCTCCTTGACTTGATCATTCTAATTATACTTGGAGAAGAGTACAAGTTATGAAGCTCCTCATTATGCAGTTTTCTCAAACCTCCTGTCACTTCATCTCTCTTCGGTCCAAATATTCTCCTCAACACCCTGTTCTCAAACACCCTCAGTCTATGTTCCTCTCTTAATGCCAGAGACCAAGTTTCACACCCATATAGAACCACAGGCAAAATTATAGTTTTGTATATTCTAATTTTTATATTTTTCGACAACAGATGAGAAGACAAAAGGTTCTCGACTGAATGGTAGCAAGCATTACCCGAGTTCAATCGCCTTTTAATTTCCTCCTGAATCAGGTTTCGATCTGTTATCGTTGTCCCCAAATATCTGAACTGTGCCACATGTTCAAAACATCTGTTTCCTGTCTTTATGTCATACCAAACTAAAAAAGTAATAATTCTTTTAATCTGACTGAAACAAAAGTAATATTAAAGCTCTTCTTGGGCCACAGATCTTCAAGAATTGGATGTGCTTTATCAATACAAGGGAGAGTCATTAAACAGGTCAAAAATGTATATAAAACGTAGAACTTGTGATATCTGAATCTGAAGAATACATTTATTTCTTGTCATATTCTCCACCAACACAGATACACCTGTCCCATCGCATTACCAGCACTTTGAAACCCACAGCACAGAAGTCTTTTGACTGTTGTCTCAGACACTTCCACACTTCCCTTTCTTCTTCTTCAACACCAGCAAATCATTTCCCACCTAGGTGTGCTTTTAGCAAACCAAACAGATGGAAGCCACTAAGGGCCAAGTCGGAGCTGTAAGGCGGATGTTCAAGAACGTACCCACCGTGGTTCTCTAATTCTCTCCTGGGTTGTTCCATCTGAATGGGGTCTGGCACTGTCATGATGAAGCAGTACCACCTTCGAAAGATCATGCACTATGCTGTATGCTAAACAACATTTTGGTACAGAAATCTAATAGGAAGATGACACCTGGGAGAGGTAGACATATGGGGGAGGATACTATTAAAATTAATCTTTGAAAAAGAAGATGCAAGAATGGGAACTGGATTCAAAATAACTTAAGATGTGGAACAACTGGAGGTTTTTGTGAATATGGCAATAAATTTTCTTCTTCTGTAACTTCAGGGAATTTCTTGTCACCTTATTAAGACGTCTGGATCCAAAGTAAATGGCACTAGACAAAGTGCAGTTTTTACTCACGCATGCTGAAGTCTTCAAATGCGAGTATAAATTCCATTACAATCAACTGGCTTGTCTTGGACTCACCGCGTTGGCTGTGTTGATATCCACTCCCGAGTCCAGGTACTCTGCCACCTTCTCCTGCTGCCCTGCACGAGCTGCACGCAGGAAGGCTGTGTTTGGGTCAGTCTGCAAAAGCAGAAGTGTTTCTGTAGGTGAGTTACAGAAGTCAACATGAAACGAGCATTACATAATCATACCACGCAATCATGCAAATAAGAAGACAAATTATGAAACAACAAGAAAAAC